GGAGGCCTGCTCTTTTCTGAAGGGAAATGGAGGAGTGGATTTGGCAGAGAGGAGGGAGGAGGGGTTGGGAGGATTGGAGGGAGGAGAAACTTCAGTCTGGATGTAATATATGAGAGAAGAATAAATTTTTAAAAAACTTCATATGATAAAAGGAAAACTTAGAGAAAAACTAGTAAATGCTTGTGGAATTGTTTCTTTAATATGTATATATTAAAGTTATTTAATATACATATTATTTTAATATACATAAGCATTTTGCATTAAAATTTTTATTTACACTTAAATATTGACTATTTAAAAACTGCATACACATATATCTTAGAAATAGATTTTTTTCTTTTTTTTGTGACAGGGAAAGGCTGTCCTGGAACTTACTGTGTAGACCGAGGCAGCCTTGAACTCACAGAGATCCACATGCTTCTGCCTCTTGAGTGCTAGGATCAAATGCGTGCTTCCCCATGCCTGGCTAGGAAGTAGATTTGTAAACAGTAATTTCTTTTAAACTTTTCAGTTTTTGAGAATTTCCTAAGTGAGCACGGCATTTACGTCATCCCCCTTCCTCTTTTCCCTCAAACGCTGTCATTTTCCTCCCACCCCTGATATGCATGGCCTCTTATTTAATTATAATTGGCATGTGTGTGTGAGTTTGTAAGTACAACCTGCTGGGATAATTTAGTGTTGCTCATATATGTTTGGGATTGAGTAACCTATCAGGGGCTTGACCCTGGAGAAGACTGATTCTCTCCCTTCCATAACCATTAGTTGATTATGGCTTTTCTAGAGTAGGCCTTGTTAAACACTAATTTCTAATTTAAACTCAAGCTATTATTCTGTAATTATGCCTCACATAGACAAAGATTCCTCTGTTTTTGTGAACATTGCATGTATTAAAAATTATTCTGTGTATCTTTGTGTGTGCTGTGTGCGTCCTTGTGTGTATCTTTATGTGTGTCTGTGTGTGTCCATGTATGTTTATCTTTGTGTGTGTCTGTGTGCATCCATGTACGTTTATCTTTGTGTGTGTCTGTGTGCATCCATGTACGTTTATCTTTGTGTGTGTCTGTGTGTATCTTTGTGTGCGTCCTTGTGTGTGTATCTTTGTGTGCATGAGCATGCATGCCGCAGAGGTCAGAGGACAGCCTGAGGGAGTCGTTTCTCTTATCCACCACGTAGGTCCTGTGGATTAAACTTGGGTCCTCAGGCTTGGTGGCAAGTGCTCTCACCTCAGGGGTCATCTTGATGTCCCCTAATTTTTTTTTTGAGACAGGGTCTATGTAGTCCTTGAACTTGCTATATAGACCAGGCTGGCCTTGAACTCACAGAGATCTACCTTCCTCTACCTTGCAAGTACTCTAAACTGCTTTTTAAAGTGAGATTTTATTCAAATAATGATATTCTAGCTATAGAATACTTACAAAATGCCCTGTGTTTTTACCATGAGAGTTCACATATTATGAGGTGTTAAGTGTAACACAAAACACAAACCAGTGGGGTAGAGATTTAGACCATCTTGGACTGCTGTGTTTTTCTTTGTAGAGACCAGCATCAGAAGTAAAAGAGAGGTCATCCAAGTTAGCAGTTACGTTTTCTTTTACTGATTTGAAGCTGGATATTTTCTGTCTTCTGTCTTTGCTAAGGGTGTCAGTGTGTGTTTGTGTGTGTGTGTATATGTGCGTTTGTGTGTGTGTGTGTATGTGTGCTTATGTGTATGTGTGTATGTATGCATATGTGTATTTGTGTGTATGTATGCATATGTTTGTGTGTGCATGTGTTCTAGTTTTTGTTTTCTTGAAGCTATTTTAGAGAAATAAGCTATCCCTGATGTGATGAGTTGAATTATGTCCATATTTAGATGCTGAAATCCTAACCTTGGGGCCTTAGAATATGTGTGTGTATGGATTTAAAGTCTTTTTTTTTTTTTTTTTTTTTTTTTTTTTTTTTTGGTTTTTCAAGACAGGGTTTCTCTGTAGCTTTAGAGCCTGTCCCGGAATTAGCTCTTGTAGACCAGACTGGTCTCGAACTCACAGAGATCTGCCTGCCTCTGCCTCCTGAGTGCTGGGATTAAAGGCGTGCGCTACCACCGCCCAGCGGATTTAAAGTCTTTACAGAGGTAAGGAAGTCAAAATGAGGCTACAAGGGTGGGCTCTAATCCAGTGTGGCTGAAGATGTTCTAGTAAGAGGCCCTTGGATCCAGATGTGTATGGGGGGAGAGTGATGTTGCGGGCCCACGGAGCAGATGGCTGCCTTCAGGCCAAGTTCTAGAAGGCATCCTTTCCTCTTGTCCTGCAGAAAGACCCAACACTGTCAGCATTGTGATCTCCATCTTCTGACCTCCACAACAGTGCGGGAATAAATCTGTTGTTTACACTACTTTTGCTCTAGTGGCCCTAGCAAGCTAATACACCAGGGTTAGCAAGAGTTTTGTGTCTGCTGTGTATCATGTATGCATGTGTGTTTATGACTCTCCTCCTTCTTCCTTTGAGGCAGGGTCTCTCACTGAACCTGGAGCTCTTATTTTTCAGTTAGGTTTTGGTCCCAAGCCCTAGCAATCCTATCTCTGCCCATCTTAGTGCTATAGTTAACAGGTGCTGTCCAGGACCATGCTTAGCTTTTATGTGGGTGGTGGATGCATAAGCTTGCACAAGTGCTCTTAACTGCTAAGCCTTGTCTCCAGTCCCCCCATATAACTAACTCTGTGCATGCGTGTGTGTGGTTTGTCTTCAGATCTCTCCATCCTAGCCACTCCACTCCACACTGTTTATCCCCTGGCCATAGTCACTGTATGTACAGGACTGGCTAGGTAATTTATGATACTAGCAATAAAGGAAAAATACTAGAAAATGTATAATTAAATATATTTAAGTAGTCTCTTAAAATAATCCATGTTAGGAAAAAATCTTAAGAAGAGCCTCTCCACTGGCGCAAAATAACTCCAATTAGACCAGATTAGCCCAAATCAAAAATACCCATGTTTAATGAATGCCGTGCTCTTGGGTGGATGGGAGAATAGCGGGGGTGGGTGGGTGGGGAGGTGGGGACGGGACAGGGAGAGCACACGCAAAACCTGTTCCTTTTTCTGGTGGCTGTGGGAATGATCCTGACCCTCCCTGGGGAGGGGGGGGTCAGGGCTTGGCCGGCTTCCTGGAGATGGAGTCCGGCCCAAGACAAATCCCAGCGGGAGGGGCTTGAGATGGAGTGTTCTGCTCTGTTGATGCTCCATTGGCACCCCTAGGATGGCTGCCAGGGACTGGGATGACACTTCCAATTATCCCAGACTCCTTGATATAGAGGTGTCAGGGGGCTGGAGTCTCACAAACAGTCCAGTGCTTTAAACCCTAATAGAGGACACAGTGGCCTATGAGAAACGGCATGACTATATCAAAAACATTCGTGCTCTTTTTGGGGGGTCGTTTCAAGATAAGGTTTCTCTATGTAGCCCTGGCTGTCCTGGAACTCGCTCTGTTGACCAGGCTGGCCTCGCACTCACAGAGATCCGCCTGTGTCTGCCTCCTGAGTACTGGGATTAAAGGTGTGCGCCACCACACCTGGTACATGTATGCTCTCTTTGGTGCTATAATTTTATTGTAGAGGGTAGGCCAGTTATAACTGTGACAAAATGCTGTGGACAACCAACAAGAGGAAACGTTTACTTTGACTCCTGGTTTTGCAGGCTCCAGTCCATGGACCCAGTGCTTCTGGCCTGTGGTGAGACAGAACATCATGAGGGGAGAGGGGATAGGAGTACTTGATAGAGCAAGCTGCTCCCCTTATGATGGCCAAGATGCAGAATGGGGCAGGGTCCCAGTCTCCCCTTTGTCTTAGTCACCATTCTATTGTGGTGAAGAGACACCATGACTATATTATAAAGGAAAACATTTAATTAGGGCTGGCTTACAATTTCAGAGGTTCAGTCCATTATCATGGTATGGAGCATAGTGGCACACAGACAGATGTGGTGCTGGGGAAGTAGCTGAGAGTTCTACATCTGGATCCACAGGCAGCAGGGCCTGGCGCGGACTTTTGAAACCTCAAAGCTGCAGTGACATACTTCCTTCAACAAGGCCACACCCACTCCAATAAGGCCACACCTCCTAATCCTTCTCAACTAGTGTACTCCCTGACCACGAAGCGTGTTTAAAAGTATGTGCACCTCATCCCTGTAAGAGCCACCTCTTGTGATCTTCCAGCTAAGTCCTGCCTCCTAAAGGCTCAACTCTCTTCAGTAGTACCGTGGACTGATGACCAGGTCTTTATCATGTGGCCCTTCCAGGAAGATAAAGGCCTACAAGGGCTGAGAGATGAGACAACCTGGAGTCTGCTTGAGGGTCAGAGGTCCTGATCATGCCTAGCCAATGAGGGGTGACCATGCAATGTCAACGGATTGGAACGCAGCCTGGGTGCTGGGAGGAGGGTATAAAAGTCTCTCCCCATTGCTGAATAAACAAGTCTATTGTAGGTCTGACTCCAAGTGTCTATGTCATTGACACTGCCCCTTCTCACCCCGTTCCCCGATGGACCTGTTAGGACCCAGCTCCAAGTGACTACATTTTATTAATATGCTGCCTTTTTCTTGGTGCTGAGGATCCAACTCAGGGCCTCATAAATGCCAAGCTAGTCCTTTACCAACCAAGGTACATCCCGCTTGTTAATGGGATGTGTTATCAATACTGTATTCCTGGAGGCCCCAGCTGCTTCTAGTTGGCTTAGGAGGCCACGGTTGAGTTCTGTCCTGTGCATTCTAATAGTCTTGTTGATACAGTCCCACCTTTAAGTTGTAGGGCATGGAGGATGAAGGAAGGCCTCAGAGGGCCAAGAAAATGAACAGAGAGACCCTTTGAGGGTCCCACTTGGTCCCTGACTACAGCCACACTCCTTCCCCAGTATGACCTCACAGAGCCCAGATTCCACAACGTCCTGGAACTCAGTGCTGTTTCTATGCTGTGTCTGCGAGAAACCCAGGAGAATGGCTCCCCCTTGATGGTGTGCTGGCTGTGGCAAAGATGAGCGACACTGTGTTCTTCTCCTTTGTACTCTTCCTGGGAAGCCAGTGGGGCGCAGAGCCCCATTCTATCCCTGTGACTGAAGGTACCATCACAAGTATATTGTCATGGCCACTGGAGGGATGGAAGACTCATGGGGAGCCTCAGCCCGGCCAGCTGGTGGGCCCCTCCTGCCGAGGCTGGGATGGTGAGCCCTCCTCCTATCCTATTTTCTCTACTTTCCTCAGTTCATCATGAGGCTGGATTCCTTGGGGGAAGGGAACATCTTAAGGGAAGTTTTCCTTTTTGCTACGTTTTCTGATCCACCGAGTTTATCTACCTGTGATGTATCCTCAAATCCTAGAGCTTCATAAGACTATTCCATACTCAGAAATGTCAGCTCTTCATTATAAAATATTTTCAAACATTTCAGAAGTAGAACAATCAATAGAAAGAACAGTCATACACAAATCATCCCAATCTTATCTACACATATTTTAAAAATTAGTATATACTAATCTGGGTGTGGTGGCACATGTCTTTGATTCCAGTACTTGGGAGGCAAAAGGGGGCAGATCTCTGTGAGTTTGAGACCACCCTGTTATACATAGTGAGCTCCAGGACAGCCAGGACTACATAGATCCTGTTTCAAAAAAGCCAACCAAATAAAAATAGCATATATTAATTATGCAAACAGTTCATCACAACATTTTTATACTTTTATTTGTTTATATTCACCTATTACCTTCTCTTGTTCCCATACCACTCTGACTAATTCACTTCCTCATCTTGTTAGTTCCCCTTGTAATTTCATCTCTTTAAAAAAAAAAATTACCAGTGAGTTTTACTCGGCTGCTTACAGGAGGATGGGTGAGGAGTTGTTTACAGAAGCACCTTACTAGTGTCTACACCACTGAAGAAAATGTCCACCCACCCCACTGTCATTAACTGCTTATAAATCCTCAGGGATGGGTGAGAGATCTTCCCTATCTATGACAGGATGTTGACTGGCCCAATGTAGAGATTCTGTGCTGATAATCACGGCTGCTGTGAACACAGAAGTGTGATGACTTCACACCTGGGAGTCAGTGCTCCACACATCCTTCACCTTCCTCGAGCTCTTACATTCTTTTCTCCACGTCTGCAAAGTTCCCTGAAGCTCAGAAGGGATGATGGAGATGTCCCATGTATGGAAGAGAATTCGAAACTCACTATGCTAATCCCTCCGACCAACCATGAGTCTCTGTGGTTACCCCTGCTCACTGCAAAAAGCAACCTCTGTGATTAAACAAACAGCAGTGCTATTCTGCAGACGTAAACACGGTTACTTGACAGACACATCCTGACTGTGGAGCAGAGTAATACAGCCTATGACATCCCCAGCCATTGGGCTTTTGACCAGGCTTATGGTACCAGGAATGAATTCTCTCCCCTAGAGTGGACCTCAAATTCGATGAGAATTGAGTTGGTGGTCCCCATAACAGGTTTGCCACTGTTACACCAGTGAATTGTTTTTGGATGGCTAATTGGTAGTGTAGCTTGCAGAATCCACATGCGTAAGACTTGATGACAGGGGCAGTAGCGATGACTCACTGGTTAAGAGGACTTGTTGCTCTTGCAGAGAACCCAGGTTTGATTTCCAGCACCTGTAATGTGATTTCTAATGGATATTAATAATAAAAATTCTGGAGTCAGATGTAGGGGTTAAAGCTGAAAGATGAGAGAAGCAGAACAGCAGCCACCAGAAACTCACTATGAAAGCCACCATTCTTACCTCTACCAATGCTCAGACCAAAGGGTGATCCTGTTTCTATGAATCCTCCGAGCGCCCTGAGCTCCTGTCTCCTCCCGCCTTACATTCCTCTCTCCTTCCAGCCATCTCACTCCTGTCTCCACTGCCCTAATGCTGGGATTAAAGGCATGTTATCCCAAGTGCTGGGATCACCTTTGTTTGAACTCTGTTTCTCTTCTAGACAGATTCAATCTTGTGTAGTCCAGGTTGGCCTTGAACTCACAGAGATCCCTCTGCCTCTGTCTCCACAAATGCTGGGATTAAAGGTGTGTGCCATCACTGCCTGGCGTCTGGCTGTGCACTCTGATCTTCAGGCAAGCTTTGTTAGTTTACAAACAAGTACCCATATGGTAGCTCATAAATAATCTGCGACTTCATTCCAGGGGCTCTGACACTTGCACATGGTATACTTATGTATATGCAGGCAAAACATTCATACACATAGAAGATGACAATGATGGTTTCTAAAATCCCCAGCAACCTGACTGGTGCCTTCAAACGCTTTGAGGGCTACTGGCAGAGGGGACACTTCCAGTCTAGCCCAGGTTGATATCCCTATACCTTGCTACCAGAATGTGCGATAGCTTCAGTAATAGGATCTTACCATTGCTGGTGAGCAGCCAACTGTAATGGCAATTTTCTGTAATGTTCTGGGGACCTCAGAAGATTTTCCGAACAATTAGTAGAAAGGCAGCCCACTTCTGGCACTGAGATATTTATGTAATAACCCATGGCTTCTGGAATACCTTTACACACCCATACAGGGTGCCTCTAAACTGTTTTAGAAATTTTCTTTTCAAAATTAGCTTACCAAAAGCCAGCAAGATGACTCCGTGGGTAAAAGTGTTTGCCAACAAGCTTGATGGTATAAGTTTGATTCGCAGGACCCACGTGGTGGAAACTGTCCTGTGACCTCCCCCATGCACACCGTGACATATACATACACACACAATTTTTAAAAATTAGAAAAAATACCGAGATTAGCAAATGCCATTATTTCTTTATGGCTTTCATGCATTCTTAGCTTTGACGCTCCCTCTGGCCCGTCCTCTCCCTCGTCTTCTTGTTCTCACTCCTTTTTGTTTCTGCCTCCCAGTATCTTATTTATTTATTTATTTATTTATTATTTATTTATGAGTCAGGGTCTTGTCATGTAGCTTTGGCTGTCCTGGAGCTCACTATGTAGACCAAGATGACTTGAACTCACAGAGTTCCCAAGTACTGGGGTTAAAGGTGTGCACTACCGTGCCCAGATCTTTCTTCCCACTCTTTTAAAAAATGTTTATTTTATTAAGAAGATTTTGTGTGTGTATGTGTGTGGGTGTTGTTGGTATGTGCACATGGATGCAGGAGCCTGAGGAAACCAGACATGGACCTCAGCTCCACTGGAGTTGAAGTTATAGGCAGGCAGTTGTGAGCCTATACAACTGAGTTCTGTGCATGTACAGAACTCCGACCCTCAGGAGAAGCAGGGTGCACTCTAAACTGCTGAGCCATCTTTCCAGCCCACTCCTCCACACTCTCGTAGACTCTGCCCTCATCTCCTGGGTGCCTTTCTAGCTTCCAACACTCTGTATACACGGACTCCCACATAAATCTACATATATAAAGATTAGGAAATAGAGTCCTCATGAAAGCGAGAATACGTGGTGTTGTGTCTTTCGGGGCCTGGGTAACTTAGTATATTTCTCAGTTCCACTCATTTTCCTGAAAGTACCATCATAATTTCATTTTTCTTTATGACTGAATAAAACTCTACTGTGTACGTGTGCCGTACTTTCATTATCCATTCATCTGTTGGTGGGCATTGAGGCAGAGCAGCCATCAACACAGATGAGCAAGCTTACTTATGGAGGGCTATAGCTGTGTCGTTGGAAGGCTCACCACTCACCGACATGTTCCCTTTCTCTGCGTCCTTACCAGCATTTGCTGTCGTTGGCTCTCTAGCAGGGATGACATGCAATCTCAAAGCAGTTATGGTTTGTATCCTTGATGGATAAGGATGTTGAACACTTAAAAAATATTCATTAGGCTGTTGTTCTCCTCCTTCTTCTTGACTTTTGGAGACATGGTCTCCCTACGTGGCCCTGGCCATCCTGGGACTTGTTATGTTGATCAGGTTGGCCTCAAACTCAGAGATTTCCCTACTGGGCCTAAAGGGCATGTGCCAGCCAACACAGCCATTTTTTTTTTCAGATTGGGTTGTTCCTTCTCCTGTTTAGGTTTTTTTCTTTGGGGGGGGGTTTCTTTGTATATTCTGTATATTAGTCTTGTACCATATGCATAGCAGACAAAGGATTTCTTCCATCTGCAGGCTGTTTTTTTTTCTCTCAACCGTTTCCTTTGCTATACAGAAGGCTTTGATTTCGTGAGGTCTCCTTTGTTGGTTGTTGGACTTTTTTCTGGGAAGGACTGGACTCCGATTTAGAAAGCCCCTCCCGTGCTAAATCCTGCAGTGTTTTCCCTCCAGCAGGTTCAGGTCTTTGAGATTTTTGATTCATTTGGAATTGATTTTTGCTTAGAGGTTGACAAATGTCGTTTATTTTTTCATTCTACCTCTGGCTATCTAGTTTCCCTAGCAGCATTTACCTAGGACGCTGTCTTATCTCTCATGTATATTTTTGGCACCTTAGTCAAAAATTAGATGGCAGTACTTGTGTGGTCCTTTCTCTGGTCTTTCTGTCCCATGTTATGGGACGACTTCTGTACCACTGTCATGCTGTTTTGATTACCATGGCTCTTTAGTATATCTTGAAATCAGTTATGGTGAAGTCATCATTTTCTGAAGGACAGCGTTGGAATTTTGACCGAGATTTCATTGAACCCTTAGATTGCCTTAGGATAAGATGGCCATTATCACAATGTGAATCCGTCTGACGCCCAAGAACGGGAAATCTTCCCATCTTTGAGATAATCTCGCCTTGGCCCCCACTGGGTGCTATGTGAGAGAGGCTGAGTGTTCCTGGCACAGATACGTGGGGACTGAAGGTGTAACATGGCCTGGTGGTCCCCCAATGTCTTAGCTAGCTTGCTACTCTGCTTCAGCTTCTCCTCACCTTGTAGCGCTTCTCGGGCAGCATGTGTCCAATTGCTTCATTGTTGGTTCTTGCTTCCTGAGGCAGGATAGCCTGGGCTGGCCTTGAATTTATGATCCTTCTTCCTTGGTCTTTTAAGTACTAGGATTACAGGTGTGTGCTGCTCTACCCACCCACACCCAGTTTTTAAAAATATATATTAATTAATTTTTAAAAATGATCTTTTCTTTTTTTTAAATATTTATTTTATTTATTTATCATGTATACAATATTCTGTCT